TGATAAACTTTTAAAATATGACTTACTCATTTCCTTCTTCATGAACTTTTAAGAGAAAATATAACCCTCTATTAAAAGTGTTTTGGTTAAAACACAGCAAGAAAGTCTGTTCAATGTTCTTGAGAAGATGGGACCATGACCATGTTACCATCTTTTGGGGAACATTGCGTGACCCTTAAGATTCTCCCCAGGGTCAAAGATAGATATTTTTACTCTGGGGACCTGACCTGCAGATGTTTCAGATCTCATATTTAGACTCCCAACACTATTGGACAACTTGTTATTTATTCTGAACTTGAATGGAATATTCTCTGTTGATATAGATGCCATTTTGTCTCTTGATGGGACTCTATACCAAAATTTGCTAGAAACATGTACCTCTAATCCAGTTCATATAGTATATATTGCATATGAAGCTGGCAAGCCATCAGGGGACCAACCCGGGCCAGGTTTCAAGTGGTTCTGAAATTCCAGTACTATGGGTACTTACCTAGAGTGAGCCTGGAGTATCTACTTCATGTTTTGGAGTACCTGTCAATCTCTCAGCTAGAATTTGCCCTAGTGAAATACGGGATCTCTAGGCAGATGTTTTAATTCTGAATGTCTTAAAAGATTCCATTCTCCCTTAGTGAGTGTGTGATGTAAAAAGCATTGAAACAGTCAGGAGACGTTGGTCCTAGTATCAGCTCTGTCCGTGACTAGTTTCCTTATCTATAAAATGGGTAGCATGGAGTTGTGTGTATCAAAAGGGAAAATTGTGCATTTTAAGGCAATTATTACAAGTTTAAATATACAAATATTAGCTATTATTATTGTTATTCCTTCCTGTAACTACCTTGTTCCTTTCTAGCCCAAGATAACCCAAGAAAAAGCTGTAGAAACTGCAAAGCAGAGTTAGAAACTGGAAATCCCTATAGCTTGGCACTAATTTGCATTTGTGATCATCTGCAAATTGTGGCAAATAATCTGTTGCATTTCACTGCAGCTCATTTCAAAATAGAAAGTAATGAGTTGTGTCATTAGTTCTTGAGGGCTTTCAAAAACTTCTGGCTAAGGCTTTGGAGATAGTTTTATTATTGAAAATTCCTTCAGATCAAGAAACTCTTGCTTCTGTAATCCTAGTCTCTTTTGCTGCTATCTCTTTGATGGCTTCTGTGGTCCCTTCCAGCTCTAAATCTATGATTCTATGGTCCTTATTTAGTCTTCTGTGTAGATAGGATTAACTGACATCTAGCCCCTGTGCCCTAGTTTTCATGGACCCTTCTATCAGTTTGAATACTCGACTCGTTATTCCACCCCCCCCAATTATTTCACACTATATTTGCGTGTAGTCCCCATACTCAATACCCATAAAACTTGATCACTGCCAGGTACCAAGGTAGAAGGATCACTTGACCAGAAGTTAAGGTCTAAGTTCTAGTTTCTGCTCTGCTACTAACTTTCTATATAACCTTAAGAAAGTTACTTTACCTTCTTTGAGTTTTCATGGGTAAAGTAAAGAGGTTAATACTGATTCCATTGCTTTATTTAAACACCCTACTGGAGCAAAATAAAAGGATAGGCTAAAAGTTTAAGAGAGCATCCAGAACTTAACAGCCTCCTTTTAAGCCGTCTTAAATCGTCACTTGAGTTTATCCTGGTGTACTCTGTGTCAACTTATTTGTTATACTCATAACTACTGAGTGAAATCATCACAGTTGGGGAAAAAATGAGTTCTTACTGGTTGGGAATTAGCAAATTGTGGTATATGAAGGTGGTGGAATAAAGAGCAACATAGGAAATATTTATGAACTGGTACAGAGTAAAGTAAGCAGAACTAGAAACACAATATTCACAAAGACTACAATAGTGTGAAAAAAAATATGCCAAAATGATGTCAAATGCTGAGTAATTGCACTCAACAAGCTCGGTCCCAGAGAAGATTGGTGGAAACACTACCTTCCTTGTAAAGAGGTATGGGACCAAGGGTATGGAATGTTGTGTGCACTGTCAGAGGAGGCCAATGTGTGGGTTGGTTTTCCTTAGCTGTTTTTGTATTTTTGTTTTGTTTAGTTTTGGGAGGGTTAGAGATGAGGTGTTGGGGGTTGCAAGGGAAGTCTCGTTTGGTGGGAGACATAGGTGTCACTATCCAAAAATGACTGTGATACAAAAACAAAAGGCATTAATAAAATTTATTTTAAATAAATAAATCTATCAACAAGCATTTCTTAATCACCATATGCTAGGCACCGTGGTAAGGTGATAAAAAAAATGGTAGAAATGATCCCTGACCTTACGGTCAAATAAAATAAAATAGAGGGGGTGGACTGGATGATTATTGAGGTACCTTCCAGAGCTAACATATTATTCTATAAGTAAGACATGTTTTAAGTTGCTTTTTTAATTTGTCATTATATGTTATATTTGCTGACCAGATGCAGATACAGTCACTAGTAATGCAACAGAATAAAGTGAAGACCTACATAAAATTTAAACTCATGTTTGATCTCGTTAGCATGGAACTCCAAACCACTGAGTTAATCCACTTAGACAATAACTAATACAGAGTATTAGTAGTAAGTAATAAATAATTTATATTTACAATAAGTAAGCATTTAATTCAACACTGAAGTGTGCAAAATAACAAAATAATTTGAGGAATAATTTAAGAGCCTGTGAGAGGTGATGAAGAAATCAGTTATGTGAAAGAATACCTACCCCAGGTACCTGCTAAGGTTCTGAGTTGTTGGACCTTTCTGATAGGCCCAAGCCCTTACATCTCTCGGAATTGTACCCGTGATTGTTGCTGCCACCACTATCCCTGATTTCTGTAAGAACTCTGAGGTCTTGGTTCTCTTGGTAGAGATGTGGATACTCTTCTGCTTTCCTTAATTTGATAAGGTTAACTTCTTTTTCTTCAAAGAGAACTTTACTAGGGAATTAAGGAGAAAGTAAAAGAAAACAAAAGACAAAAATTGACAAATTGGATGGAGATTGGAGGTCAAAACTGGGGTTTTATTGGAATGGGAACTCCTCATGAGGAAATTCCCCCTGCCAATGAACTTGCCCTTTAGTTTATTCTTAGAGAGTTGCCTGGGATACTGAAAGGTGAAGTAATTTGCCCATGGTCACACAACTAGTATGCGTCAAAAGCAGAATTTATTCCCAGGCTTTCTCAGCTCTCAATTCACTGTGCCTCACAGAAATCTTGTTCTAATCCACCACAAATTGATTTGACTAATACAGATAAAGAAAAAATTCATTTTTCTATTCCTCTCTTCAACCCTTGCTATATAAGGAAAGTCTAGAAGGGTCTAAAATATGTCCACTAGCCACTTTTGCTATTAGATGAAGCTTAGCTCCTCAGATTCCAGGTAGACTTCTTTTCCTAGTCTTACTACTAACCCTACAGCCAGTAATTGCATCCATCAACACACCAATATTTCTGCCATTGTGCTGCATTCAAGGGGCACAGATCATTTATTTTCTTTGCTCTCGGTTTTGCACTGTCAGGTCTCTTTTCCCTCCCATTGGACATCTGACTAAGTTCCTGGAGGATGATTCTATTTATCAGCCCATTTGGAGAGCTGATATGAAATACGAAGCCTAAGCAGAATAAATAATCAAATATTTCCTGCCACTGGTTATCAGCTCTGCTTACTTCTCATTTTCTTTAATGATTTATCCTCTACCAGTCTTCACCAGTCTCCCAAACATATCCCTCAACCAAAATTCTGCCATTCTACAGAGAACAATTTGGAACTCCCCAAAGAGATATAAATATAAATATACATACACCCTTTGATCCAGCAATACCACTGCTAGGTCTCTATCCCAAAGACATCCCAAAAAGGGGAAAATTTGTACAAATTTGTATTTGCGCAAAAACATTTTTTGTGGTGGCTAAGAATTGGAAATCAAAAGGATGCCCATCAATTGAGAATGGCTAAACAAGCTATGGAACATGATTGTCATGGAATATTATTGTGCTGTAAGAAATGACAAGCAGGATGATATCAGAAAAACCTAGAAAGACTTACGTGAACTGATGCATAGTGAAGTGAACAGAACCAGGAGACTATTGTACACAGTAACAGCAATATTGTTCTATGGAGAACTGTGAATGACTTAGCTATTCTCAGCAACACAGTGATCCAAGACAATCCCAAAGGACTAATGATAAAGCATACTATCTGCCTCCAGAGGAACAACTGATATTGTTTGAATATAGACTGAAGCATCCTATTTTTCACTTTTTTTTCTTTCATTTTTTTTCTTTTGAGTCATCTTGTACAAAATGACTAACTTGGAAGTGTTTTACATAATTGTACATGTATAACATATCTGATTGCTTAGTCTCTCAGGGAGGGAGCACAAGAGGGAGGGAGGGATAGAATTTGGAATTCAGAACTTTAAATAAAAATGTTAGAAAATTTAAAAAATACTTTAAAGATAAAGTGATTACAGTTTCCACTCACAGTAAGAAGAGGTCCAGGTTGTTATAGGAGATAATAATAACCAGTCCTGAGATTGGTCAGAAAAGGATTTTTATTGAATGTTTTTTATAAGTGGTTTCTGTATATCAGGTTAAGGAGAAAGCTAGAAAATTTTGAAGTGCAAATAATTGAGTGTGTATATTGAAGAGCATAATATTGCTTTTATAATGAAGAACTGAAATATACTGAGATCAGCATTATATTTATGACTTAATTTGACATATAATGATAAAGACTCTCAGTCCTTATCTCTTCTTAGTCCAGTGGTTGAACACCGTCATTTCAAAGGTAAAGAAACAAAAACACAGAGAGCTTAGGTGATGTGAAAAAGAACACGCTATTAGTAGTGCAGAGCCAGGACTAGAACCCAGGCCTTCTGACACTCTATCTGATGTTCTTCTTAATACATGCAATATGCTGCCTTTCTGAAAATATTTTTAAATGAATGCTCTTCGCATTAACATTTATGTTTAAATATTATTTAAGGTATGACTGCAGCTTTTTTCACTTCATTGTTTTTCTAAGGTGAGTTCTTGGGTGACGTGGCTGATACTCACAGCAGGCACCATGGAAGAAAAACGGGAAGTCTTCTCGTATTTAGTACACATTGCAAAATGCTGCTGGAATATGGGCAACTACAATGCTGTTATGGAATTCCTGGCTGGCCTCAGGTATGGTCGTTGGTGAATGGAATTAATATTAAAACAATTACTGCAAACATGTAATTCTGACATAAATCCACATAATTGTATCTTTCAAGTCACTTATGTCACTGAATTGTCTTATTAGTTACCTTACATAAGCTAGTAGTAGTATGTCATGATTTAGACATTAGAAAATGCAGTGGATTCTGTTGGCTGTTCTTTTCCTTGTTACTGAGAGACAATACAGAGCTCAGCCTCACACCAGTCATTCAAAGTCTTAATTGGATGCTCATACATCACAGATTTCTGCTTTCTATCTGTGAACCCTTGCTGACTTGAGAGTTGAATGTGTAACCGTCACATTCACTTTGCTCTATCCAGGCTTTGTATTTTTGTAGGTCTTGAAGCTCCTTCAGTGTCATGAATTTCAATATTTCAGATTAAGTTGTTTTGACCTGGATGCTGAAGGATATGGAAAAAATGTTATATCAGGACTAGAGATGTTTAGCCTGGAAAAAAGAAAAGTAAGACAAGATATAACAGTTGTTTTCAAATACTTGGAGGGCTGTCACGTGCAAGAGAAATCAGACATTTTCTCAAGGGGTTAGAACTTCCATCAAAGGGACATTTACAGAGATTTCAGCTCAATATTAAAAAAAAACTTGGCAACATTTTCACAGTTCTGCCTCTTAAAGGAATGAATTATTTATTATTAGAGTGTTTAAGGGGGAAAATGGATGACATTCTGTCAGGGGTATTATAAAAGGACTTTCAACATTGGATGAAGAGTTAATATCCAAGGCTTCTTCCAACTTAGGAATTTTTTGTTATTCTGTCCAGTCATCCTTCCCCCTCTCATTTTAACAGTTCAACAAGGATTATCAAGTTCTTACAGTGTGTGATCCACTGTTCTTATCACTATCTGTATTAGCTTTCATAGGTACTACTAACTAATTAGGTTGTGTCTCAGGTAAGTGTTCATGTCCCAGTGGGACAATACTCTATTCCTATGTAATTCCATAGATAATGTGTTATAATGAGGTCCTGTCCAATGGGGTTTTAATGTCTTTACCACATCTCTCAGCTAGGCCTATGAGACATTCCACTTATCTTCATGTTTAGCTCCTCCAACCTTCTCACAAATTAGCAAGTCTGAGTTCTAAGAAGCTGACCACCACTACTTGGTGGTCTTAGGGGTAACCCTATACAAGAGAAATAGACTTCTCCAACTTACTATTCTACCTCTTGAGCCCCTGTCCTATATGTTTTCTGTCTATACAATCAACCACTCACAGTAACAACCATTAGATCTTAAACATAGCCAGTTTACTTTAATAACAACACAAAAGAAATAGTATTATAGATATTAACATGTTAAGGTAAATACGTAAGTAATCAAATGATAATATAAATAAATACTAATCTAGATCACAGTCTCCAACCAATGCACTCAATAGCTTTGGCAAGGAGTGGACACATACTTATAAAAAACTGGATTGGAAACACATGGGTGAGGAAAATCCATGTGCTCTAACTAACCGACAGCTCTAAACTGCAGATTTCATTGTTACTGGTCCATTCAGGAATATCTATACCATATGGAATTATTTCTCTGCTAACTACTTGAACAAAGCCTGCATAAACTCCTTTAGTTAACTATCACCCTTAAAAGAACATTTAGAAAATGTTAGCTCTTAATGTGAAAAGCAGTTCTCTGTAAGCCATGCAAATTTCAAGCTCATCAAACTGGCTATCTCTGAACTTACAGACCAGACAAGACCAGCGTAGCCAGTTACAAACTGTCCCAAACCTTTTGCTGTCAAATCAGAACAGAGCTCATAGCACCACAGTTCAGATTCAATTCACCTGGACACCCCAGCAGTTACAAAGCCTCTTGTCTTCCTTCTTAAGCTAGAAGTGCTAACAGAGAACAGCCACTCTTATGAAAAGCTTCACCTTTCTCCAACTCTAGGTGGTGAGGAAGGGCAATACCTGTTACTGCAGCTCTTAGCCAATGACATCAGTTCTCTCCTGCCAATCAGGAACCACTCAACTAAAGCCTTCTCAGCTGTCTGCCTCTGACAGTCACCATTCCAACAGGAGCAACTATACAGATCCCCTGCTGTTTCTTCCTTTCTTTTTAAGTTCCTCTTCCCTTGCAGATATATTGCTGCTATTTTCTCACTAAGAAGTCACAACTCCCCTATTTCTTCTATCAAATCAATAATCCTTTCCTAATCATACCTAGTCTCCAAATGCTTATAGGATTTCTCATTTTCTTAATTTTACCCTCTTTCATCATAAAATATGTATATGGAAATTATGGGAGATACCCACCATATCTCAGCTCTGGTCTCTCCAGTAAGGCAATTTGTCTCTTTAGTGCCCTTGAAACTACATTTATTTAAATTCGTATTTCTTTAGTTTTTAATAAATAAAAGATCTTTCTCTGTTTCTTTATGATTTTAATCAAATGAAATAATATTTGTAAATCACTCTACACTGGTAACAAAGAGATCCAAGCCATTTCTTCATGCATATATCTTCTCATTTTACATTAAAACAAAGTTCTTTTTCTACTTGGATTAGATATTAAAATGTTCATTCATAATAGACCACACTCTTTGAGGATTAATACAGATCTCTTCCGTTACATGAAAGTACTTTTTAATGTCCTTTTCATTATTAACTGTGCCTTATGAAAAAGACCATCAAAAGATAGTGTACCTTACACCAGCAACGATGAGTACCTCACTTACTTCCTTTTCTGTGCTGCGGATTCCATCTATTCCATCAGTAACCCATTCTGACCTCCTGTCTTCAGTGACCTTTCCTGTTTTTCTCTTTAGGCATTGACCTTTAACATAGGATATTACATAAAATAATGCTCTGGCAAAAATACATGGCTAATTTAAATAGCATCACTTTAGGGAATTCAGTATTGTCATAATTTTATGACTTTGCTGGAGGCTTTATTTCATGACCAAAAAATTTCACCCAAATTTTGGAGGTCCCACCAGTGAAATCAAAGGCAAAAGGAATAGCCTTGGCTTGCTGTGGACAATCTATGTTGAAGCAGGATCTTAGGCCCAACCCAGAATGAATTTGTGCAAGCCTCAGATTGAGTTACAGAAGCAGGTGGGGTTTTTTTTGGCCCTTAAAACTGAGGATAGTCTCAGACTTATCTTTATAGATTTATCTTTTTGGAACCTCTCCCCACTTTACCTTAAACCCAGGTCCTTGGTGTTAGCCTGAAATGAAATTGGTTCTTGAAACCAAATTGGAAGAAAAGGTACAGGATGAGTACTAGAGCTGCTTGTCTACTTAGTAGTGTCAGACTGTTATGTAAAGGAACAGATAGCCAGTTGCACTTTCAATAAAATGTATGTGCAGACAGATGGTTATGTATGTAATTGTGGCATAAAATGATGTACAAACACTTGACCTCTGATATTTACATCTCAAGCTAGAATGGATCTTAGAGGCATTGTTAATTATGACTGTCGTTCTCTCTTGTTTGAAGATATTTTATTGTGTATGTATCTCAGAACTAAATCTGCACTGGAACTTATGCCTGATCTTTTGGCTCTGTGATTCCCAGAGAACTATGGGTGCTTTTTAACTTACAGGAGAAGAAGGCTAAAATTTCTTCCTCACGCAGTGTTAGTTGAAGTAAAGTGAAGAGCCTAGTCCATGTAGAGTTGTAATTGTTTACTCTTGAGTTGTTTTACTTCTCCTTCAGCCACCAAATTATGTCTCTTTGCAATAGGTCAAGGAAGGTTTTAAAGATGTGGCAGTTTATGGACCAGTCTGACATTGAAACCATGAGAAGCCTGAAGGATGCAATGGCCCAACATGAATCTTCCTCTGAATACAGGAAAGTGGTGAACCGGGCTCTGAATATTCCTGGCTGTAAAGTGGTTCCTTTTTGTGGTGTCTTTTTAAAGGAGCTTTGTGAAATTCTAGATGGAACATCTGGATTTATGAAACTTTGCCCACGATATAACTCACAAGATGAAACTTTAGAGGTAAATCCTTTCAAAACTACAGTGGCTACAACCTGCCTCCTTTTTTGTATGTTTTTTTTAAACTAATTAGTATTCATTAAAGGGAATACCTCGTTGCTATTGTGTTGGTTCTTAACATATCACTAATATCTCCCAAACACCTCCAAGAACTATCATAAGCACTTAACCAAAGCTAGGTGACTGACTGATGAAATGCTACTTCTCTGAATTCAGGGGCCTTATAGGATCATACATCTGGGCCTGGAAGGGGTGTCAGAGATCATCTCTGTACTCCAGCCCCTTTATTTTATAGATAAGGGCACTCAGGCCCAGATAAATTACTTGTCTTGCCTAAAGACATCCAGCCAGTACAAGTCAGAGGTGAACATTGAAGGGAGGGCTTGAACTCACATCCTCTGACCCTAGGGTCAGTGTTCTTTCCACCCAACCATGCTGCCTTCTTGTGTTCTACAAAGGGCAATATTCTGAAAAGAAGTGTATACATTGACACAGGAAGAGAACCTCTAGGAGGAAAACTGCTTAATTGGTTTTCTGGATTTTAAAACTCAAGTGGTCATTTGATTTTTTTCCTTGGGGAAAATGAATGTAGAGTAACAAGAAGTCTCCTAAGAGATGGAATAACTCATTTTAATAATATAAAATAACAATAATGCTTTTCAACAATAATAGCTAGCATTTAGGTAGCACTTTAAAGTTTACAAAATACTTTACAAATATTATCTTATTTTATCCTCACAACAACCCTGACAGGCAGGTAGTATAACTATCTCCATTTTACAGATGAGGAAAATTAGGTAGTCAGAGGATAAGAGACTTGGCCCAGGGTCACACAGCTAGTAAGTGTTTGATACTGGATTTGAATTTGGGTCTTACTGCCTCCTGCTCCTGAGTTCTGTCCACTGCACCACCTCGTTGTCCTATCCTTAGGAGGATTAGCTCCAGACTTCCATTTATTGCTGCCTCATACCTCCCAAGCCTGTTACAAGGTTTTCAAGACCCTGCAAATAGGGGAGATTCTGGATACTTGAACCCTGAAACATATAGGTAGGTGGAGGTAAAGAAGGAGCAGGAAAAGGGGGTGGGAAAGCCCTATTTCAGTTGCTTAAAATAAACTGGAGGTTTGGAGGTTGGAGGGAATAGAAAACTTTGAAAACCGTAGAAGGCTATATGAGGAATATAAGGAAATTTGGCATATTTTATGGCAGATGCAAGATGTTTCACTGCCCATCATTTTCATAGTAACAGAGGCTGATAGTGACATACTGACTTTTGTGCCCACTTTGCAAAGGACTAGAGACCTGTCCTCTGAGTCCTTGGAGCCTTCCGTGTCACCCCAGACAACAGAAGCAGCACATGTGACACAGTGGCAAAGACTTAAAGGGCACCTAGATGAGCTGCTGATTTGATGGAAAGAATGCTGTATTTGAGTGAGAGGACCTTGGGTCAGATTTTGACTTAGTTGCCTTTGTGACTTTGGACGAATCACTTGATCTTTCTGGGCCTCAGTTTCTTCATCTGTAAAGCAAAGGTGCTTTACTTCTTAAGTCCCTGCCACCTCTAAATCTATGATCCCATGGGAAAAAAATCATAGCACATTCTCCAAGTGATAAACACTATAACTCTCTTGTTCTTAAGGCAGAGAAAAGCAAAACCTACTGTCATGTTGGCAGCTGGCTGTAGCTCTGGCTTCTGGTATGGAAAAGATTCCAGCAGAAAGAGAGCCACATATTCAGGACATAAACTTCACTGCTTGGGTTGCAGGCTCGTTCACGCTCACAGAAAGAAAATGTTCTGTTGCCTCTGCAACTGACAAAGGCCAAGTGACTTTTTCATGGGGATCTTAAATTTAAACTCAACTACTTAATTAAATTTTGCTCTTTTAGTCTCCCCTTCTTCCTTTGGTTTCAGTGCATAGATAAAACAGTCTACTTACGTCCTTCAAGTTAGTAGCAGTAGATTTTTCTCTTTTTAATTCAAAGTGAAATGTTTACTCTTTAGTAATGTGACAGAAGTTACTTTAGTGAAAATCAGAATGAAGTTAAGTATTTAAAATAGTGAAATGAAAAGGTCAAGAGCCCTGTGTCCTCTTGTTTGCTTTCAAGTACAACATACATAAATGCTATTTTTTTTTTTGTTTTGCAACTGTAAAGTCACAACAGCCTAAGCGAAGTAGGTTACTTGGTTATGCAATATTTAGTTGCACTTTCAAATCTAAATATATTTCTTTCTAGTTTGTAGCTGATTACAACGGACAAGATAATTTCTTACAACGAGTAGGGCAAAATGGCTTAAACAATCCAGAGAAGGAATCCACTGTTAACAGTATTTTTCAAATTATCCGAAGCTGCAATCGCAGTCTGGAACCTGAAGAAGAAGACAGCTTCGGTGAAGGCGACAATTCAAGGAAAGACTTCTTAAAGGACAAAACTCGATTGCAGTAGGTTTCACTTTTTTTTCAAGAAAAAATATGAATTATTTGTGCTGAGTATTTATTCCTTTCTTATTCAGGTTTGGATTGAGGTGAGCTTTATGAATTTACATCATTAATAAAAACAGTGATGATGCACTGGACACAATCTAGGCTGGTGTACTAGGTGACTTGGTTTCTGGTCTCACCTGTGCCTCTTAGTTACCTGTGTGACCTTTTGCAAGTTAATTTTTCTCTGGGCCTTTTTCCTCATCTGAGAAATGAAGAGATTGCGCTACGTAATTTAACTTCCCTGAATGTCCTTATATTATACCTTACCTGTTCTATACTTCTTTTCTAATTTAGCTGTTTTAATAAAATAATAGCTTGCAAATGAGAGCATTCCATTTGTTACATGAAATTTTAGAAACCATATGGCCAGTCATTTCAGTACTAGAACTATGATATCCTTTTTTGAGAATCTGTATTATTTGTGACTTTAAAGTATTTGTTTGTTTTTTAAGGTGAAAAATGTTCTTACATTTATCCTTACATATGAAAGTGATTTACTTGTAATCAGTGACTGGTTATAAGTATGTTACATCAAGTTTGCATTGCTAGCTAGGCACATATATGCTTACATGACCTTGACTTCAAATTAGAAAAGATTCTACCCAAAGTTAGGAACATTTTAAAATCATTCAAAACTATTAGAACTATTAGTCTTTACATAAACAAAATCCTGCTAAGTGGGAACAACTGTACACCAGGAATTCAGAACAGTGTTTAGGTTTTTCTCTATAAACATTTGGGTTTTACCTACTAATTACTGCATAAGTTTAGTCTGCTAACTACCTTCCTCCCCTTCCCCCTCCCTTATATACGATGGTTTTAATCTTAAACTTTACCAGAGTGAATTCAGATAAAATCAAAAGTAAAGAAGACACATTTGTTCCCAGGAATAGAGTGAAACAAATGACGAACAGTGAGCTCAGACTATAACCTCTTATGTATATGTGTATGGCTTTCTTCTTCTCTTCCTCTTCTTCCTCCTCCTCCACATGCCATAGTAAGCTGCCATTCGTTGACAGGGTGATAATATCAGCAAGGAAATCAATGCAAGATCATTTACCCTTCAAGTGGGAATTGAGATTTTCTAGATGGGTCCTGTGATCACTGAGGGTGAGATTGTGAAATGTAGATCAGATTATCTATGTCTGATCTCCTAAAGTCTTTGTTTTGTGATTGCCAATAATTTCCACGTCTAAAACCCTGTTTTCTCTTCTCTTTTTCCCATCTTTCAGTGTTTCCTAGTTCATACCTATTTAGTTCCCCAGTGCAACTAAAAAAGACCTTCTTGAAACAGGTCATTTTATTACACTTACTGTAATGACTACTTTCTATTTTCCTCCTTAAATATTATCACTAATCAAGGGAAAAACCATCTACAATGACTGGTATTACTCACTGAAAATAGGGTGAAAAATGTTTTGCAAGCATCAATCACTGTCCTCCTCCGAGATTTGATTAGACTTTATTTGAAATGTTTTATAGTACTAGTCTCAGGATGTAAAACTCACTTTATGTGCATTTACATGTATTTTTACTTAAGACTGTGTGGCATTCGTACTTTATTATAATTTGTTTCCCTTCTCTGGTAGAAAGCTGCTGTATTGTCAGAACTGTGTTTGCTTACTTGGAATTAGCAAATATATCATTTAATCCTCCTTTATGGAGAGTTTTGATTTAAAGTGTTGACTTATATACTTCTACATATGGCAAATTCTGTTGCCTTTCATATTCATTGTCAATATAAATATCCGTGATTATCTTCTATTGGGTTCATAGTTTTAAGTTTTCTCCTTTTCAGCAAATTGGAGGTCATGTGATCATATATTAAGCTGGAAAGGCTCTAGGGAACATCAGGTGCAACCTGATTATTTTACAGGTGTGGAAACTGAAGCCCAGCAAAGTTAAGTGACTTGCCTAGGGTCACATGGCTATCAGGGACAGGATTTGGACCCAGGTTTTCCTGATACCCCCCCAACTCCAGTTCTCTTTATCATGGTGCTTCTCAATTTGATATTTGCAGTGCTAACAACTTTTGGCAGTGTTCCCAAACGGTTTTTCACACTCTAATATGGCCTCTTGTCATTCACAAATGCACATACCTCTTTCTAAATGTGAATATGAGTTTGTGCATGTGCAAGTGTAACTCTCTCAGAAGCCAGTTAGACTCTGAGGACCTAAGAGGCAAGAGAAGAATGTAATGCTCCTAGTAAGAGGCAGAAAGAGTTGAGAAGAAAAGGCTTCTGAACACTTATATACCACATCTCATCCTAATACGCTTATTGATCCTTTCTTTAGCTGTTAGGGACAACCTCTGTCTCAAATATGATGAACACTCCCCCGAGCTCTTCAGCTCCTGAAGGTCACCAGAAAATCTCTAGGAGGACAGGGTAGGGGGGGGTTCCCATCAGTGTTCCAGGGCCTGTGTCTCTCTTCAGCAAGATAGAGGCCCACGTGTCATATCCATTCTGGCTTCTCTGCACGAGTTCATCACTCTCTTAGTTTAAAGAGGACCAAAATCAGATAAAGTAGGATCATCTGCACTTTTCTGCTTCTTGGGTCTTCTGACTCTGATTAGCCCCTTGAGGCCACACACACACACACACACACACACACAGCATACACGTGTACATACACACACATAAGCACAAAAGCCAAGGAAGAAGGCAAGGTCATTGTCTTCTGTCATCCTGTCCCACATTCCTATCTTTATCATGCATATCTGCTAGTAGGAAACCAACCTTAGCTTTTCTTTAATCAACAAGTCAGCAAGCATTTATTATATACTTACTATGTGCCAGACACTCTCCAAAGTGCTGCAGATACAAAGAAAGGCAAAAACATGGTCCCTGCCCTCAAGGAACTCTCATTTTAACGGGGTATACAACATGCAAATAAATCTGTACATATAAGAAACATATGATGCGAATGAAGAGTAGTCTCATGGGGAAGCACTCTGGGAGTATGAGGGGGGGATTCCATAGGAAAGGGATCCTGAAGAAGATCATGTTTGAGCTGGGGATGTCCAGCGAGAAGACAGGGAGTTGGGAGTTGTAGCAATACATGCCAGGAACAAAATTGGATCATTGAGTTTGTGTTGGGAAGTAATGTGTAAGAAGACCGGAAAGGTGGGAAGGGGTTAGCTTACCAAGGACTGAATAGAGGACAGACTGGAGGAAGAGGCTTGAAGCAGGGAGACCTCCCAGGAGGCTGTTGTGATAGGCCAAGCGTGATGCGACACGGGCGGGCGGAAAGGGTGGTGGCTGTGTGAACAGAAGGAGTGTGTATGAGGGATGTCACGGAGGTAGGACTTGTCGACAGCTTGGGCACATGGGTTCCATGAGAATGAGGAGTCAAGGATGACAACTGTATTGTGAGTTTGAATGACTGGGGGGGATGAGGATACCTTCAACAGTTATAGAGAAATTTAAAGGGGAGGATTGTGGTAGGGGAAGTAGGGAGGAAGAGATAGTGAACTCTGCTTTGGAAATGTTTTTTTCATTGAATTCTGTGTGTGTGTGTGCGCGCGCGCACGTATGCAGTAGTTATAGTACAGCAAAGGGTCTGGCTTGTAAAAGTAACATTGAAAAACTCATTTAATCATGGCATGGGAAAATGGGAGAAATACCTGCGCACATGCGCGCGCGCACACACACACAAACATATGTGTTATATGTTTTGTGCGTATACACATAGTCTGATCATGTCACACATATTACACATACACATTCATTAAACTCCAGTGGTTCCCTGTTACCTCCAGGATCAAATATAAACTCTTCTGTTTAGCATTTAAAGCCCTTCATAAGCTGATCCCTTCTTGCCTTTTTAGAAAAGATCTCTATATCCAACCAAAATCTTCATTGAATCCATGAAAATAATAGTTAGCACTGGTGCTCTACAGTCAAAAAATCCTGGACTGCAGTGCCATCTGACAATTACAACCTTTGGGATCTTAGGAAAGTCACTTCGTTTCCTTATCTATAAAATAAGAGGTTTGGACTAGACAGGGCATTTATGTAAACAAGAATTTATTAAGGGCCTGTTGTGTGCCAGGAGCTAGGGATATGAAGACAAATGCAATATTCCTTGCTTTTAAGGGTTTCCATCCTATAAGTTGGCAAGATAGGATTCCTCCTGTGCACATATAG